AACATAGAAAAGGATGGAATCCTCCCTAACTCATTTTATGAAGCAAGCATAACCTTGATACCAAAACCAGGCAAAGACATCACTCAAAAGGAAAACTATAGACCAATATGCCTCATGAATATAGATGCAAAAAACTTCAACAAAATCCTAGCCAATAGACTCCAACAACATATCAAAAAAATCATTTTCATTATGACCAAGTGGGGTTCATATCAGGGATGCAAGGATGGTTCAACATTAGAAAAACAATCAACATCATCCACCACATAAATAAAACACATGATCATATCAATTAATGCAGAAAAGACATTTGATAAAATCTAACATACATACTTGATCAAAACTCTCAGCAAAATAAGAATAGAAGGGACATTCCTCATCATAATAAAGGGAATCTATGCAAAACCAATGGAAGGAAGGTGGGGCAATCTACTTCCGTAGTGATACCTCGGAAACCCAAGGAGGGGTCGCTATGAGTCAGTTCCGACTCGACAGCACACAACAACAACAACAACAACATGCAAAACCAACAGCCAAAATTATACTCAATGGAGAGGGACTGAAACCATTCCTCCTGTGAACAGGAACCAGACAAGGATGCCCTCTATCACCACTTCTATTCAACATTGTACTGGAAGTCCTAGCCAGGGCTATAAAGCAAGAAAGGGAGATCAAAGGCATCCAAATTGGTAAGGAAAAAGTGAAACTATCCCTGTTTGCTGATGATATGCTCCTATACCTAGAAAACCCAAGAGACTCAGTCAAATATCTAGTGGAACTAATTGAGAGCTTTAACATCATGGCAGGATACAAGATCAACATCCAAAAATCAGTTGGATTCCTCTACACCAGCAAAGAGATTGCTGAAAAAGAAATAAGGAATTAATACCGTTTACAATAGCTACCAGAAAAATAAATCTTACCAGGGACACAAAAGACCTGTACAAAGAAAACTGTAAAAAACTATTCAAGAAACCATAAGAGATCTACATAAATGGAAGAATATCCCATGCTCATGGATAGGAATATTGAACATTGTGAAAATGTCAGTTCTACCCAAAGCAATCTATACATTTAATGCAATCACAATCCAGATCCCATCAACATTCTTTAGGGATATGGAAAAACCAATCACTAACTTTATATAGAAAGGAAAGAGACCTCGGATAAGCAAAGCACT